CACAAGAAGGTAAAATCAATTGTATTTACAGTTATTGCTGTTTATTAAAAAACATTGTTCCATTAAAATAAACAAATAAATACAGATAGTGTAAACCATAGACTGGAAATATTAACGTAGTTACGCCAATCTCTGCAGTTCAAACTAATGGGCCACCACTTTCGCCGTCTATTGGACCAAGAATAAGAATATACGTACATTGGCATGGAATAATTCTTATTCCTGGTCCACCGCCATAGGCCCGCCCCACTGGTATAAACCAGTTTCATTGTTTAAAAGAATACATATAGTTATGTGGTGGAAAGGAGGAGTGACCCAAAATTCAATACTGCAAAAAATATAATTTAATAACCAAGAATCCAAAAATCAAAAACTGTAAAAACACAGGAACTGAAGACGAACCAAGAACAAACATTCAATGGACTGACGAGAGGGAAAGAGCACAGGGATATTAACTGAGAGACACAGGTGAAACAAATCAGGGCGGGGTAGGCAATCAACAGAACAGGAAGTAAAACTCTAAAAGACACAAGGGAACTGAATTAAAAAAAAAAAAAAACAGGAACCAAAAGTGACAACCATGACATATTTTGCATCAGCTGTGCTATCATGTATTGTGGCCACACCTGTATGTGAAAGTCTTATCGTGTTAGATTCAGAAGCTAAGGCCCTGTTTATACTGAGACGCTCCGCAGACGTTTCCAGGCTATTAACAGAAACGACCTGGCTCCTAATGCAAATTGCTCTGCGTTCAAATGAAGTTGAAAAACGATGTAGTTCTAGCGCCCGGCCAGTAGTGGGCAGAGAAACTTTACAACACTCACACAACCCCCAGCCCAGTGCCCAGCCCCCCTCTTGGCAGTTTACTCTCTTCCTGTGCCAGACCCTCAGAACGCACCAACATCATTCTGCATTTTAACAGCAGCTGTGAACATGGGAACTGAACCTAGTGCCTTCCCGTGGTTTCGTTTGGACGAACGAAGGAGTAGAATCTTCATCTGTGCAGCGCTGAAAGCCCACGAAGCTAGTTAGTGCGACTGCCGCCATTGTTGTTTATGTTTGTTCTCCGCTACTGCGCATGACCAAATTTACGTGCGGGGAGCAGCGTGGAGGTGGGGGCCAAAGCAGAGGGGGATTTCACACCTTTTTCCCTCTCGCGGGTGTGAAAGAGCTCCCCGCTGTGCAGCGTATCTGAGCTGTCCCACTTTGCAGGCTGCAGATCTGAACACTTACGTTTTCACCCCCCTGAAACAGTCTTCGTATGAACGGTTGGTAGAAACCGACATCCAACTATACCGTTTTACTGCCACATTGTCTCCGTGTAAACTCGGCCTAAGCCGGAGAAGGCCTTGTCACAAAGTGCCAAACTTCTGTTGTGCCCTTAAGCAAGACACTTCCCCCACATAGCCTAGTATGAGTCTAATGTGTGCCTGTGGGCAAGACTAAAATTAGTCCTACAGTATTTGTTTGTGTTAATACCAAAGGAAGGGGATATTGTTTTTCCAACTAGCAGGACAATATCCTGAAGCAGGACAATGAACTCCTAGGGATTCATTTGTATTTAAATTCTTTGGCTGGGAGGTGAAGGTTTGATTAATTGATTTTCCTTTTCAATGCATACATAAGAGCAAATATTTCCAGGGACAGTAGTGACCTCAGCTGTGTGTGGACTTCAGTGATCCTCAAACATCCAACACGGCAGAAAGCACAGTTGACCTCCCAAACTGTTTTATAATAACACAGGAGACATAAGTGGGTGAAAGGTAGAACGGGGAGTAGGAGTAATAATTGACAGGCTGCAGTTTGATGTTTGAAGGAGACACTTGAAATATCTGTAAGGTATGTGTATACATTTTAGATGCAGGAGACTGAAGGTTCTCTGTACTAAATGGGTCTGAAATATGTGATACAGGCAGGAATGTTTATTGGTTCAATGTGAGTTTACAAAGTTTATTTTTTTCAAATATTTATTTTCAAACATTGAGAAAAATGCAGTTGTTACCAAGATGATAGTCTTGTATCACAGATTTCTTTAAAATTTTATTTTGAACTTAAACAAGGTACATTTTTCTTTTATATCAGGCCAATTCTGAAATGTTTGAAATTGTATATAAAAGAGAAAGTTTTGTATTCACCTTTTATTTAACCAGGAAACCTGGAAACCTTCTGGCTATGGACCAAGTGCTAACCACTACGCCACCCTGCCGCTCAATGCAAATGTCACAAAAACACTAGGATTGAAACCAATTGTGAATTATTTGTTATGAATGGAAATGTATGTATAGCAGGTTAAGGTGGCAAATAGATTGATAAATTGATTGATAGATTGATGATTAATGATTCATTTAAGAAAATAGATTACAGCAACTGTTGAAGATATACAACATTGTGTTTTCTCCCAAGATTTTACCTTGAATGGTATTTCAAATAAAACTGACAAAAGCAAGTCTTTGTTTTTTAAGTGTGTTTAGGTGTGGTCATAATTATTCAAACACTTGGGGTCTAGTGTGACCTCAGCTCTCACGTTGAACTCATTTGCTCGCTTCACTTCCGTCTCCTTTCTGCACACTGCACTTTGTACTGCTGCGGTTACTTCCTGTATGGAGAGGATTTCATGTGTTTTTCCCAACTACAAACTTGCAACATACCACACGTTTACTTTTTAGAGACACATAACAGGGTTAGCCAGCTGTAGTGTTTTGTTCAAGAAAAGTCAGAATATGTGGTAATTGGCAAAGGAGATACACCTCACCAGAGTGCGCAATATAATATAATATAGATATTTGGTGGTGCAGCCACTAAACCCTAATGTAACAAAAACATAACTAAAGTTGGACGAGAAGTTTTATTTCTTCAAACACCATGAGTACTCTGTGAATATTGAAACGGTAACTGCACAGTAGTTCTGTAAATAGATTTCAACTCTGATGATGACGATACACGTCATGTTCAAACACAGGGATTTGAGCACTGCTTTTTAGTTCTATTGAACATATCGACAACCGACTGTTGGAGTTGTTCAGAAAACTAGTAATGTGAAGAAAGAGGAGCGAACACCGGAGGTAAAGATGTCCATTCAAATTATTTTATTCACCACCCGTGAGTAGAGTGTTGTAGATAAAAGTTGAGCTGAGGTCACACTTGGTGCGTCCGGTCATACTTTTGCGCTTATATTTTCTGCACTTATATATATATATATGTATATCCTATATGCCAAATATAAATTTCTCTGTGGTGAGATCAACAAAGTTTTATCTTTTCTTAAAAGTTTAGAAATCTGGCTATTTTACTTTACTTGATCTCTATCTGTGTGAGCCTCTGATGAAGGTATTTCACAGTTGAGATATTGAAGTTTCCCCAGGATTGTTAAAGTATTTCTTTATCAAGTGCTTTGGCTTCAGTGACAGTTTTGCAGTGGCAGCAGTTTGAGCAGAGATGCTCAGACTTCAGACACTTTCTCTATACTTTCTTCATCTGAGAGAGACAGTCCCTTCGTCCTGGGTCTTCCCTGGTGGGACATACCCAGAACGCTTATCCTGTGATAAAACCGACAGAGCCTTTATGAATCTCTAGGTAGTAGTCACCTGCATCTGAAAGTGGAAATTTGTTGCCGGACTTGTTGATTCGACTGTTGGGTTGACAGCCTGTGATGAATGAGAGGAATGTTCAGTGTAGTCAGTAAAAGTCAGCATCGTACATTGGTACAAAGAGAGGACTGAGAGTGAACAGATTTAGCCTCTGCTGCTGCCTCCAGATCTGTACAGTAACACACAAAGACTACTTTGACTCGCTCTGTCTATGCAAAGACAAGACATTCAAGCCATTCAAGGCCATGCTTCGTTAACTTAAATATACTAAAGAACTCAAACATCTACAACGAATTACTATGGTCTACGGCATGTACAATAAAGGCAACCATACAAACTGGTAAATGGACAATTGTGTTAAGCATTTTCATGAGTGTAGTAGAATAACATATTTTGTTTCAGTTTAATGCTCCCCTTATAGCAACAATGTCTATGGCTCCAACAATATGCTTATCCACTTAATTCATTTTTTAAAACCAATTTATCCCCAGTTTGTCTCAAAATGAACGCTTAGAGGGCAGAGTTTGAAACTGTCTAACTCTTGTAATGAGAGTGGCTCTTTGTTCACAATTACAGCTCTGGGCTGACATAGTTTATAATGGGACTGTTGAAGGCTGCAGTCTCTTCATTTTTCCTCTCTGATTCATCTGTCTAACTTTGGAAACACTGAGGGGACTCATTTAACACTGCTGGGGTTTCAACAAATTCAAAACTTGACTAACTTTGAGCTCAAATAAATGGTTGTTTTTAAACATAAATATTATATTTTACCTCAGTTATTCATTTGTATTAGTTTAGTTTTTGTTAATATATTCATTGTGTATAGCTCCATTTGCATGTCATTCCATGAGTTGAATGTATTTTATTACCTTATGGTACATTGGAACATGTATGCAGGTAGCAGTACCAGATTTAGATGTTTCTGTATTTGTAAAATATCTTGCTGGGATTTGTTTTGTTGCACTGGAGACTGTCTTGTATATAATGTGAGAACAAAAGATATATGGAAGGATGGGTGTAACATGGCATTTACAGTATATTGCGCCTTTTATGACACTCACGCTTTACAATAGACACAGCTTCTCTGGGGCAGACTGACAAAAACAAGGCTGCCACTCTGCTCCATAGGCCTCTCTGACCACCACCGAGAGCTCACTCAGGCACACACCTGAGTTAAACTCATGTGGGTGAAGTCAATTGCTAACAGACTGACAGTATCGTCTGTCCCAGTTGGTTCCACACATTAAACACAAACCTCAAACATGAAAAGATCTAAAACACATCACAATACAGTTGTTTTTAAGATAAGATAAACTTTATTTCACAATGGATAAATGGAGTATGTTTTCCTGAAGAAACCTGTGACTCTTTCCCTCTTCTAATGTGAGGTGTTTGTGCATTGTTTGTCCCCAGGGCCCTGGTGTTTATTGCCCATGGAGTAGGAGAACATGTGGGGCCCTATGAGGAGGTGGCTCAGAGACTCAAGGAGCTGCAGCTGCTGGGGTTTGCTCACGACCATGGTTTGTACATGAACATGCTGAGAAAATACAAGAAAAAGTATGTGGAAGATAGTCTGTATGAAATGTATACAGACATTCTTCCCCTTATTATTACTACTGTCCTACTTTGTATAATACAGTGTATGTATAGATGAATAGGGTTGTGATTTAAGGCATTACAAAAATACTTTGAATTGATTTGAATAGTTTTACACAATACAAAGAACTATGATAAAAGTGGAAGCTGAAACCACTTTATATGATGCAGTCGGTGGCTCGGTACCGATAATAATCTGAGACGAGGTGGTTGTGAATTGGATGCTGTTCATGGAAAATCCTGAACTGGAACAACTCCCTGAAGGCTGGAGCCTGAGCTGAGGAGAGCTCTCTAATATCTTTAAGGTTTAGTCTTTAATTAATATTTACAACAATATGATTTTAGACTGGCACAAATGTAAAAGGTGTGTTTTATAGTGTAATGTAGTAGTGTACTTGAGTATTTCACTCAAGTACACTTCTGTAATTTAGATTAAATGAAAAATAATCTAGCGATTAGTCTGGGTGTTCATTTCTTGGTTTCTATGTTTCAATCATCTCACCTTATAATCAATGTTGTTGAAAGTAAAGTAGCCAAAGCCTGTACTGTACTGTCTTCATGTGGCTCAGAGAATACATAGTTCCCACAGACCAATGAATGTCACATGACCTCCTCGGAGACGCCATCTTTGATGGCACGCTGCTGTGTTTGTGCATTCCATTAAACAGAAGAATGAGAATAAATGTAGATATTCAAACGCAAATTGGAAAAAAAGGGCAACTTTTGAGCAAATAATTGTATATTAATACAATGGCACCACAGTTTAACGTGCTACGGACATGTTTTACATATTTGATCAAATTATGCAGCAAAAATTAACAAGCAATGCAAACATTTCTCAAAAACTTTAGATTTAATACCAGTTGGAGCTCCATTTAATTATTTTAATTATATTAACAATTAATTTAATTAATGCTAATGCCACACGGACACTCTGGATTGCTGTTATTGTTTATTTCCGCGTTTTTGACCGTATGTTTTGGTGAATGGTGGGCAACTGATTTTTCCAGGCGTAAAGAGCAGTTTATTTTATGACACAGATCTTTTTACAGAAGCAATGCTGTTTGTGAACATTGTTTTAGCCCACCATAGAACTATTATTATCTATTTAATACATTTACGTTGCCCTCGAGAGCCTCGGACGCGACACCGATCCTCCTCATAATAAAGTAATCTAAATAATGAAACTCTCAAGTTACCAGATATCAGCATACACAAGTTAGTACTGAGTAAATTACGTCTGTCAACACATTATAAGATACGATACGCACCTGACACAAAGTGCTCCGAGCATATTCTTGCGTGTTTTGAGGGAGTTTCTTGCCTGTTTATCTTCGCAAGCCATAACCTCCGTCGTTGTTCTGACAAAAGCTTAGTCTTCTCACATTCATGAAGTCTAATGATGGGTATACTGTAAAATCCAAGTTTAACGGAACCTCCGGCACGATTTGAACATCCATTGACCCAGCAGGAGATGACCATTTTCAACTTTATCACGACATTAACACGTTTCAGCTTCTTTTTCTATTGTTTTGCCCAGAGAATGCCAACACAAATGGCGCCGGGTCGGCAAATCCCCGTATGTAGTGACGTCATGTAGGAACTATGTATAGACTTTAAAGCAGTGCTGCTTGTTTACAAGTCTCTCCATGGCCTCGCATAAAAGTACATCTGTGACTTGATATCACACTATGTGTGCAGTCTTCATGAAAATTTGGGAAAGTCGTCTACTGTAAAAATTTTCATACATACAGCTGAAGGCTTGTAGGCTTTTTAACGTGCTGTGATCATTTTGATTATAATTCCTTGTGTAACAAGTTTAATGTTTCTTTTCATATTTTGTTAAGCACTTTGAGTTTCTTTGTGTATCAACTGTGCTATACAAATATACTTTCCATGCCACAAGTATGATTATACAGCTCTCATCATATGGCGGGGGCAGTGATTGGATCAGAGGTCACCATGGAAACTGCCTTCATCTCTGCAGCATCACCTGTTTGTACACATTGGGAAATTATGCTGAGAAAACCAGTAGCTGAGGTTTCTATGGGGACCAAACCAGTTACCACAACAACATACTCTTTACTATTACTGCTAATGTTTCAAATACAATTATGATAATGCAACAACCTGGCTAGTGATGCCAATTATAATTACTCCTGCTGTACCTGGCTCAATTAAGCCTTTGTATAGGTTATGTTCATGCTCTATCATTCTTTATTCATATCCAAAATGAAATGGACCAACAGTCCATGTCATTTTGTTAAATGGACTATAGGAGTCTATTTAACACATGCTCTCTTGTGGATACCTTTTGCAGTGGGCCATGGTCAGAGCGAAGGAGAGCGCATGAACATCAAAGATTTCCAGATTTATATCAGAGACGTTCTTCAACACGTGGACCTCATGAAGAACAGACATCCAGGAATCCCCATCTTCTTAGTGGGACACTCTATGGTGAGTTTTGCATCTAACTAATAGCAGATACGCAATATTGACAAAAATCTATTTAACTTAGAAAGATAGAAATTTTACATCAAATTTTAGACGTAAACAATTTAAAAGATTGTACCGATGTCTGGTGTATTTACTCTGTATGTGGGATTTAAATGTAATCTGAAAATGAAGGATGATGGGCCACAGCTGAGTTGTTATACTAAGTCCGATAAAGAATTATTTGTATTTAGTATCTTCTGAGAGATAATGTACAGGACGAACTCAGGAAATTAGAATATTCCTTAAGTGAATTTATTTCTGTAATTCAACATTCCTTTTTGGCCATCGGTTATTGCTAAAAAATAAAGCACACATATTAACATTTTTCATTTACTTTAATAGCTGTGGTTTGGACACTGCGATCTGTCAGGGGAGAACGTTGCCCAGTAGAATCCCAAACTCTTTTTAATCACCTCTTTTTTTCCTCATTCCTTTGGTTTTCTCTCTACACTTCAAACCCATAGTGGGTCGTCTGTCTCAGCTCTTTTCGCACTAATTGGCCTCCATGTTAGTCTGAATATGCATGAGACAGAGGCCAGCGCTTAAATACAAGGTGCACTTAACTGTTCCCACAAGACCGAGGAGATTTAGAGTAGAGAAAACTCCCTGAAACTTTCTCACATTACACTAGTAATACTAATGCCACAGCATGTAACTTTTGAGCCCTAGAATAGACATTATTTTATCATAGCATAATTTTTTTTGTTCCAACTGAGAGTGGTCTTGCATCTCTATAAACCTCACTCATACTTGTTCTGTAGAAGGCCTCCCTCCTGTTTATGTGGGAATGCTGTTCCTTTGTCTGTAATTTTACAAATTTGGATTCAAAAGTGCATTCCTCAACTGTTCCGGTGAAAAGCTCGCTTTCTGCTTGGGTGTATAAATGTATACAGTGTGTCATGAAACTTTCCTTTTACATTGGGAACAAGAACGTGACATCATCTTAAAGCACTTTGAGTGACCCTACGCTGTAAAATGCGTCGTCTTACTATAAACACACAATATTTTAAGCACTATCCACAATTGTGGAATGTAGTGTATGTAATAATTAATTTTGTAATACAAAGGATCAGATAATTAATGTATATTCAAATTCAAACTGAGACACTTCAGGGAAAGCAATAACATCTTTATTGCAAGAAGCAGGTATCTGACCAATTCAATAAAAACCAGCAGAGGAATGCACCTGTAACCATAGTGACTACATAAATGACTATATAAATGATTGTTCTACTTAACCCTTAAAAGACGATGCCATCGCCGACGATGGTGGCGCACATGTTTTACAAATGATAAATTTTCTCGAACGGTGAACGCTAGCGACTTACTTTTTTTTTTTATCTCCGTGAAGTACACATTCCAGCCTTTCCGAAACTGCCTTTGGTTTGTCTCTGCTACATACAGGGGATAAACTACGTGTGTATGAAAGTCAGTCCCCCAAACGGATCTTCAAGCGGTGCCCCGTGAGCCAGGCACAGCCGCATGTAAAGTTGTTCACACGGGGACTCAGACAAAGATTGTCAGAGAGTGGGATCTCTCACTCCTCTGTGTTTACTTGTTGCTGCATAGGCAGCAGCGCTCAGAGGAACCAGAGGAGTTCGCATTATTGAGAATTGACAATAATAAATACAATAAAATTACATGTGTATATAATGTATTTATATATATAAATTAGATGTTTTTTTTTTTTTTGTCTTTGTTTCTTTTGTTTTACATATTTTACAGCTGTGATACAGAAGCAACCACAGCCTCATAGACAAACTGCTTGAGGAAGGGCATCAGGAGTAAAGCGTTTTTGGCTTTTATAGAGGAATTTTGTAAAAAGTATAATAGTTACGGATTCAAATTTTTTCCCCATTATCTCCAAGACCATAAATAACATTTCTATGGAGTCTAAAAAGTTTATAGCATTTTATTGTGTTTTTCAATACTATTTTGTGAAATTGATTTTCCGTTTTGATTTTTTCTTTGTCTTCATGACTCAAAATTTTTTATATAATTGATATATAAAATATATAAAAATATATAAAAAACAAATACGGTAGCAGCCTGTTGATGGACTACATGCGTCATGTTGTTCAGCGTTCCCCGAGGGGGGCGTGACTGTTTACATCTGAGCCCCCTCGGACCCCACCGCACTCCCCCGCCTCCTGCTCACCAGCACCGGGTGAGTACAACGGTGCAAACACTGCTCCCTGTCCGTCTGGCAGTGCATTACCAGTCCAAACACTGAACTGTGCTGACTCCCTTCTGACTCTGGGAGCTAAAGAACAACAAGGGTTTTCACATTTTAGGCCAATTGAGACTGTGTGTGTTCCTCGCACCAGCTCAAAAATGTTTTTAAATTCTAAAAAACGAAATCAAAACAGGACAGCAGTTAGACGGTCCAACTCTGCAAATCTAATTTCTGTTCCCTGTAGAAATCAATCAACCACATTAATCGACTCTGACGTTATTTTTAAACTTGCTATGCTTAATGTCAGATCTCTGTAACAAATCATTTTTAATTAATAATTTTATCACTTCTTATGATCTTGATTTTATGCTTATGGCTGAAACATGGCTGGACCAAAATACAGGAAATGCAGTTCTAATAGAAGCAACACCACCCAATTTTAAATTCGAATCCGAAATACGAGAAAACAAAAGGGGGGGAGGCATAGCTGCAGTTTTTAGAGAGCACTTTGTCTCCCATAGAATGCCCCTTGGAAATTTTTCATCGTTTGAGTATATTTCTTTTAAAATGGAACAAAAGCAATCTTCTACTCTTTTCATTGTCCTGTACAGGCCACCACAGTCATGTTGCGATTTTATTGACCATTTTACTGAACTACTTTCATTCGTGTGCACAGATTTTGATAGTTTAGTTATTACAGGTGATTTTAATGTACATGTTGATAATGTTGATGACAGAAATGCAAAGGAGCTGGCTTCTGTATTTGAGACCTTTGGTTTCATTCAGCACGTGAGTGGCCCCACCCACAGCAGGGGGCACACTCTTGACCTGCTAATTACAAAGGGGGTTAATGTATCAAATGTTAATGTAGTTGATGTTGCTTTGTCAGATCATTTCTGTGTATTTTTTGACATGTGTTTTGCTAGCAAACCACCCAGCTGAATTTACAATTGTTAGAAGAAGACACATACATGAAAACACAAGTGAACTGTTCATGGGAATGCTAAATTTTGAGAAAACTCCATGCTCTACTGTTGATGAATTGTATACCTCTGTCACCACCAGTGTTCTGACTGTTCTGGACGCCATTGCTCCTGTGACGGTTAAAATAGTTACCAGTAAGAAAAAGGCCCCATGGACTAAGGCAGACTCGGTCAGGGCACAGAAGCAAGAGTGCCGGAGGGCCGAACGGAAGTGGCGAAAGTCCAATTTCCAGGGCGATTATGAAATCTTTAAAGATGAGTTGGGTGAATTTAACCGGGTTCTACGTAGAACAAGAGAAATGTATTTTTCTGACATTATTGGAGGTTGCAGTAACAATTTTCGTGTTATGTTTTCAACAGTTGGTAGATTAACGAACCCCCCTGTAAAGTTGCCCCTAGAATTTTCCTCTAAATCTAGGTGTAATGAGTTCGCACAGTTTTTCAATGACAAAGTACAAGGAATCAAAAACACTATCACCTCCACAGCACGTATAACAATGCAACAGCCAGAGAAGCTTTTTGAGCTAACTCACTTTGCACCTGTGGATACTGAAACTGTCAAAAAGATAATCATGAGTCTGAGCTCCTCCACATGTAGCCTGGATATATTGCCCTCTAAATTTCTGAAGTCCGTCCTGAGCAGTTTGTTACCTTCACTGACACAAATAGTAAACATGTCTCTGTCGTCAGGAACATTTCCTATGGCCCTAAAAACAGCAGTCATAAGACCTCTCCTAAAAAAGAGCAGTCTGGATCCTGCGGGACTTCAAAATTATCGCCCCATATCGAATCTGCCATTCATTGGAAAAATTCTTGAAAAAGTGGCCTCCCAACAACTTACTGAATTTTTAACAATGAATAATTCTTTTGATATGTTCCAGTCTGGGTTTAGACCCCACCACAGCACTGAGACCGCTCTAGTGAAGGTAACAAACGACATTCGACTTCACACTGATGCAGGTAAAGTCACAGTTTTGGTCATGTTAGATCTTAGTGCCGCGTTCGACACTGTCGACCATGAGATCCTCATGCAGAGACTGGAGGACTGGGTTGGTGTCACTGGCACAGCCCTAGACTGGTTTAGGTCTTACCTGGAGGATAGGAAGTACTCTGTGGAGATTGGAGACTGCGTCTCAGATGATGTGGCCCTGACCTGTGGAGTACCACAGGGGTCGATCCTGGGACCTCTCCTATTTAATCTCTACATGCTGCCGTTAGGTCAGTTAATACAAAGAAACAAAGTGTCCTACCACAATTACGCTGACGACACTCAGATCTATGTCTCACTGACTGCAGGAGAACATGGACCACTGGATTTGCTCCTTCACTGTATCCAACAGATCAGTGACTGGATGCAAAATAATTTCCTCCAGCTAAATGCAGACAAAACCGAAATCATTGTCTTTGGTCCCCAGAAACAAAGAGAGGGCGTCATTTGTCAACTTCAGTCTCTCTCCCTACTTTCTTCAGACAAGGTCAGAAATTTGGGGGTAATACTGGACTCAGACCTAAATTTCAATAGCCACATAAAATCAATAACATCAACAGCTTTTTACCATCTGAAGAACATTGCCAAAGTTAGAAATATAGTGTCCAGGGCAGACTTGGAGATTCTTGTCCATGCATTTGTCTCCAGCAGGCTAGACTACTGCAATGGCCTGCTTACAGGTCTGTCCAAACAGACCTGTAAGCAGCTGCAGTACATCCAAAATGCAGCAGCTAGAGTCCTGACAGGAACCAGGAAGTATGACCATATTAGTCCGGTCCTCAGGTCTCTGCACTGGCTTCCTGTGGCTCAAAGAATAGATTTTAAAACGGCTCTGCTTGTGTACAAGTCTCTCCATGGCCTTGCACCAGAATACATTAGTGACATGCTGGTGTCATATGAACCGGCCCGGACTCTGAGGAGCACAGGGACTGGCCTCCTGCTGGTGCCCAGAGTGAGAACCAAACATGGGGAGGCTGCGTTTCAGATCCATGCAGCTAAGATCTGGAACAATCTCCCTGAAAATGTGAGGGAGGCGTCTACTCTGTCAATGTTCAAATCCAGGTTAAAGACTGTTCTGTTTGCCTGTGCATACAACTGAAGGATTTTATCTCCATTTCTAATGCACTGCTGTCATTTATTTTTTTTTTTTAAATTTCTTGTGTAATTTTGAAAGTTTTAATGGTTTTATTCTTTTGTGTGATTTTGGTGTTTTAATTGTGTTTTAATCTTTTGTGTGATTTTAATGCTTTAATTGTGATTCTGGTGTTTGTTTTATGTGATGATTTGTGATGTGGACTGTGAAGCGCTTTGTGTTGCCCTGTGTATGAAAGGCGCTCTACAAATAAACTTTGATTGATTGATTGATTGATTGATATGACAGCTCTAAAATATAGATATTCTAAAACCCAAGGTTGTACTGAAAAAAACAAAGTATACTGCTTGACTCTGCATCAAAAAAATGACTCTTTTATGAGCAATTATACACAAAGAAAACCAGGCGAGGAAGGTTCCCCAAAATTACCCTAGACCTTGGAGGGTTAGTTATATATTGTTGCTTCATCCACAGCGTAAAGAGGGAGGTCATGAATTGTGATCACTATATTGTCCTTGCACATCAAAAGCGGCAATATTGTCTCCTTGCAACACTCTTGACCTCTTCTCGATGTGTGGCTAAATAAAGAACTGCTACTAATGTGATAAGTGCCTCACATTCACTGAGCTACTGCACAAGTGACGAAAAGCAGAAGGCGGAATTTGCGATAACTGATTTAAACTTGTTAAATGTGAAAAGGGTTAGGTCTGGGTATATGAGCAAAGTGAGTAATCTAATTAAATGAGCCTTTAATTGCCTTGTTAGTCAAGAATGTATATTTTCTCAGGCTAAGGTAAATATTGGTCAGATAAGAAAACACAATATCAAAATTGTAAAGAAATTATAAATTCCTTTCTATCTTTTAAACTCACTTCAAACTACCGCTGTAGGCTTGAGCATAAACTGTATATAGGTGGAAGATTTGAACCCCCTAGCTCAATGAAGCCCAATCAGGAAGTGCTCATGGCCAAAGTTTTCTCCAACTCCCTCTGGCTCCTATCGACTTGTAAAGTAAACTCCTCTAGATCAGTTTGTGTCACACTCACCCTTTTTAGGCTTTTAAATCTGTGGTTCAGCACTGACCATGATCTTGGCCTTTTTATTTTGATCTTTTCTTTGTGAATCCAGAAATGAGCCATGTAATGTGTGCTCCAGAGAGCATGGAGTCATCCTTTCAATGATATAAAGCTGTAGGATAAATATGTGTTAATAAAAAGTCTTAGAAGAAAATCCAAATTCCCAAAAGTAAAAAATGGATGAGAGAGAGAAGCCTATCTGCTCCTTTAAGAATATCTCATGCAGTATGTTTTCTCTCCTCTGGGCTGTTTCCTGTAACTGCTCCATCTACATAATAACAGTTTATTAAACAGAGTGTTTTGAGAGCTATGTTTGGCGTAGGGTTTTGTTCTATAAATCTGGATCTACAAACATGGCTGCAGGATGTTGAGCTGAAATAACAAAACAGGAATGCTGTGTCCTCTTCGCTGACTGGATGTTCTTTTTCCTACTAAATAAATCCTCTTCCTCTCGGCCTTCTGTTCTCTTTCTAATCTCAAAATTCTTCAGCCTATTATCCACATTCAGCTCTGTGTTAACGTCCAAATGAGCTACACTTCTGATGGAGTCAGTCATAATCCTTCTATTCTTCCCATGTAACGTATCTGCTGTGTCCCTTCTGCTGCACTCAAGGTGCTTCTATATCTAGATTTAATATTAGGGTTTCTGAGATTTATAGATTTCCCTGTATTTAATTTGGGAAAACACACATTCACTGTCACTCCCAGAAGTCTTTATGTTGCTGGATTTTCATGTCACCATTCCAATGGCATGTTTTCTTCACTTTTTTTATTTTTATTTTTTATTTGGGAGAGTTTAGCACATCATAAAACTCAAAGTACATCTGTAAAGAAACAACTGTAGTAATAATTTAAAGACATTTAGCTCTATAAGGGCCAATCATTATCATCTATCAAGAACTTTTGACAACTCAAAATTGATCTGAAACAATGTGATAAAAGTGTCTGTGCACTTCTGTTCTCTATCGTATTGAGACTATCTCTCCACCCAGTTACATATTTCATATGTACGGGGACTGACCCCACGCGGGTCAGGTGACATGGATAATTCTTTAAGACACACCACCTGTGAGATGGGTGATTGCGCTATAAAAGCACCCGTGTGCCCAGGGCACATTGATCATTTTGATTCCACGTTGGCAGGTGGACGAACGACGGGGGCACATTCCACACGGGGAATGGCAGCGTCCTGGGCTTTGTGGCGTGGCGCCTCGCTGGATGAGATCTGTGCTGCTGCCACGTGGTCAGCTCCTTCTACTTTTTCTCGGTTTTACCGGTTGGATTTAGCAACGGGCACGTCCTTTGGGGAACGTGTGCTGGGTGCCGCACAACCCCAGTGATGTTACCCATAACCTTGCATCTTGCAGGTTGGGATGGGGCACCGGGATCTGGGCTACAATGTCCTGCGTTGGCAGAATGGGTTGCCCGTCTTTATTTTTCATGACAGTGGCCTGGCCTTTGCGTCTTGCAGGGCTGTGTCGCCTCGGTTGCGTTTTGCGCTGGGGCCAGTGTGTCACAACTTGCGTCTGGCAAGGTTGGCTTCTAATGTGTGTAGTTTACTGTGTCACTTGGGTGTTTTTTGTTCTAATTGGTGGCGGCAACGTCTCATTCGAAATACACCCTGCTCGATCCCTTGCGGTGTGCCTAACAGAGTCCCCGTACATATGAAATATGTAACTGGGTGGAGAGATGGTCTCAATACGATAGAGAACGTTACGGTTACAGTATGTAACCATGTTCTCTGAGTGAAGAGACCATCTCTCCAGCTCGATTCCGCTCGGGGATCCGTTACATCAAAATTTGATCAATGTGCGCTGGGCACACGGGTGCTTTTGTAGCGCAATCAGCCATCTCACCGGTGGTGTGTCTTAAAGAATTATCCATGTCACCTGACCTGCGTGGGGTCAGTCCCCGTACATATGAAATATGTAACTGGGTGGAGAGATAGTCCCTTCACTCAGAGAACATGGTTACATACTGTAACCGTAACGTTTTCAATCCTTGTTTGTTTGACTTGTGCTTTAAACATAACTTTTCATGTTTTTAGGGTGGTGCAATCTCAATCCTCACAGCCTGTGAACGGCCCTCGGAGTTCAAAGGAGTGGTTCTGATCGCTCCCATGGTCCAGATGAACCCAGACACAGCCACGCCCTTCAAGGTATGTGAAGGCACTTATTATTCAACTTAAACTTGGACTTGAACTTTCCTTTATCTTGGCTGTTTATTGTGTTCTTTGTGCAGGTTTTTGTGGCAAAGGTGCTAAACCACATGATGCCAAGTCTGACTCTTGGAACCATCGAGTCAAAGTGGATTTCTCGAGACAAGAAACAGGTGAGAATTTGCAAATGTATCTAATACACACGCACACACGCAAATTAAATTAGTAAATGAGACAAGTAGATTACATTTACTGCTTTCTACAGAGTTCTAATTCAGCTATATCTGTTTGAAGAGAGCCATTCTCCCACACTCAAAGGTTGTTTGGTTTTCCAACAACACGGGCAAGTAATGTGCAATGCTCTTTATTTAGAATTTATTTGAGATCTTTATTGAGATTTCAAATGTTATCGATCCATATATTTTCTGACAACGTAATTGGAAGGGGGATGTTTGTTTGAGAGTAAGTAATCTTTATTTATATAGCACATTTTTACAGACCAAGGTCACCCAAAGCGCTTTACAATTTTCAGAGTTCAGATATTTGTGAACCGTTACATCTGCTTTTGTGATTTCTTTAGCTCATATTGCTCAACATATTTCAGCCAACAGGATGCAGAAACAGGAAGTGGTTCTGTAGAACTAGGCTAACATAACAAACTGCACCAAGACCTCAAAGTAACATCTTTGTCACATCTCATTGATTCTGAGCCACGTATAAGACTATTGTTTGGATGGGAGTGGAGCAGAAATACCACTGCTCCCCAATGGCTTGAACGCCCAAATATGGCTAATGGAAACAATACGACAGCCAATCGGAGAGCAGGAAGGATACACCATGCTGAAGACACTTTCATGGCTTTAGAGGTGGGATTCGGAGATTTATGTTGGAAGGACAGGGTTGATCAAACGACAGCCGCTGATTTACTAAAAGGAAGTTTCAATGTTTTCAAGGACATGATATGCTATTTTAATCTAGAATATCTAAACAATCACTTTTTGTTTGAGGTTCTGTCATTTTTAGATGACAATTTCAACCTCTTCAGAGTTCAAACGTTATATTAAGAATTTTTCTTTTGATTCTGGTCAGTAAATGGAAATTGAAAGACTATTATTTGTTATAACATATAATAATTCTAAAGAATCATTTATCAAGATAAAGATGGTACAAACATTTGGTTTGGTTTTCTTTTCTAACCCACATGTTTAATGCGCTCTATAAATAAACATTACTTACTTACTTACTTACATGTCGACAGTAGGATATAAAGGGGTATTTTATTGTCACGAGTTCGCACTAGTCATTAGCAGCAAAGTACTAGACTGGTAGAACTAGAATTTTGTTATGTTTCTTGTAGGTTTTATTTTCAATACTGTCATCTTGTTTTTTCACTTGCTGACTTGGTGCACTCCGCACTAAGTAACTCGTCACAAAGACAGCAGACACTACAGCAGTTTTGTGGTTTGTGACCATGTCTTAGGCTTGTATTTCTCTCATGTTGTCTGTTAGTCACTTCCAGTTTTGTTAAAACTGATACATTGGGTGATTTCCTTCTCTCTCACGCTGCACAGTTATTAAGTTTCATTTCACAACTTTGCTCTTACAATGTTACTATGTCGGTCTGCCTCAGACTGTTAAGTTTAATGTGTGTTTGTTTTGTTTTTATGTATCATCATTAGCCACTGAAACATACTGTAGCTGTTATTCCTGGGGTCTATTGTATCATTATGTAATGCCTGTGTTGTCCAGGTGGAGGCGTACGACTCAGACGAGCTGGTGTCTCATGCCGGGATGCGGGTGTCATTTGCGATTCAGTTGATGGGTGCCATGTCGAGGATCGAGAGGGAGATGCCCAACATTGACTGGCCATTTTACCTTCTTCATGGAGACACAGACAAACTGTGTGACATCAGAGGCTCTCATATGATGCACGAGAATGCCCCGAGCACCGACAAGAAACTCAAGGTATATACCACATATGTCTCTTCTGATGGCTTCATGCTCTCAACATCCAGGTGATGGAAATGTATATATTTAAAGGCTCTCTGAATGCAAAGGTAAAGGGCTATATTTGAATTAATTCATTACTTTTCCTCAAAGATGTGGTTGTCACCAGGTTTATATTAGACTTGTATGTACACAGTTACAGACAGAAATGGTAAGATACAAAATGTGAGGTTTTCCTTTGGGATGTTTTTCAATAAATACAAATACTACAATACACGCAGTACATACATGCATTTACATAATACAAAAGTAACATAATCATTTGTTCAATAAATGGTGCAGAATACACTGTAAAAATCACTTTTTAAATACAAATAAGGAAAAGCCATGTTTTTATCTCCTTACTAACATAACTGAGCCCCATGGAAAGACAAAGATCTTTGTTTAAGGCATTTCCTCAAACTGGGCCTTTTAGGGCGCTTTCCCTGGCTTTCATGTAAACCGCGTTAGAACTTTTTATTTAACCTTTTATTAAACCAGAAGAAACTCATTGATCTCTTTTTCAAGAGTGTCCTTGTTTTTGTAATCATATAAATTCAGTAAACATGCGATTTATTTATCAGATGAGGGGAAATGCTGATCCAAAAAAGCCCAATGAGTCACCATTTGACACTTTGGGTTACATGCTGATTAACTAAGCAACCTTTTACCTTTTTGGCCTAAAAAATCTGATTTAAATCAAATACAAAAGCAAATGATTTTGAAAGATAAATTAGACTTAGTTTAGAATAGATTATTATTCTATTAATTCAGTATTTTATAGTTTGAAAATTAGGTACCTCATCTCATAGGTTTTGACAACTTTTTTCCTGGGGGTTGTATGGAATGTGAAACCAGAAAAAACAGGAAAAAAAGTTCAAATAGTTTCTATTATAGTGGGATAATGCAGTAGTGTTTGAATAGAACTCAAGCTGACTCATATGTTTTGTGATGTTGCAGGTTTATGAAGGAGCATACCACGCTCTGCACCATGAGCTTCCAGAGGTTGCAGAAAATGTGCTGAAGGAAGTATGCACATGGATCTCAGAAAGAATCGCTGTGTCGTAGGTCAATTCTGTACAGGCCAATCCCAAACCAACTCTAGGATTTTATAAGGAAAATGAAACAACACTGTCTGCTATAGGAATAACAACATCAATTTTTGAATTGTTTTATTTGCACAATTGTTCTTTGTTCTAAACTTCTGGATGGTGGAGTCATAAAAGCTGTTGTCAAGTCAGGGTTAAAAAGTGCAATAATGACGATTGTATGTATTCTAGAGGTTTTTTTCGGGGATAATGTTGCACACTGAGGCGGGTGGTCCTCGCCGTAACAACGGGTGAATTTGCATATCAAAAAGAAGAGGCGCAGTCTCCATGGCGACTTTTTGTTGCTTGGTGAGACGCAAAAACGCAGTTGTTTCTCCCAAGGGAACAAAAAGTCTATACCAATAATTTTAACTCTTTAGGTGCTGGACTCTTTTCTTCGTTTTTTGATAATTGGATGTGAAACAAATCAAAGATGGATCCTTGAGACAGACTTAGTTTAAATAAAAAGATGTAAGAAAATATATATGGGTAACCAGGTTGACGTATAGAAAGTACCCTGGATCCAGAAGCTCTCGTAGTAATTCTTCTTTTGTGCCGAAAGGGTTGCCTCGTATATGTACCGGTTTACAACGGGGAAAAATACAGAATCAGGCTGTTGACATTACAAGTCAACATAATCGTGGATGTTTGATATGAGATAAAAATCCCCATCATTCCCCCGGTCTCCATGGCAGCAGCAGTCATCCCTCTCCTCACTTTCTCTCCTCGTTTCACTCCTTTTCTCTTGTTAGTATTTTCTCTCGCTGCTATTGCTCCGTCTGTCAGTCTGTGTGTGTGTGTGTGTGTGTGTGTGTGTGTGTGTTTGTGTATATGTGTGTGTGGTTTGCTCTTTTATGTGAGATAATGAGCTGGAGTTGTGAACTGCAGCAGACTCATCCTGAATACTAATCCAAACAGCACTTAAGCCTTTGTGACTCCAGGATCCACAGGTTTTTTATAGAGTTTCGGATTTAATTTTTACTACTATCATGACAAAACCCATATGTATTTCACGTATAAATTGCAGCTATCATTTTTCTCCCCACATTTATTGGATTGAAACACATATTGCCATGAAGAGGAGTGAGTTTTAAATTAATTTCTATTATTTGATTGACTGAAAAAATGACAACTTCAAAAATTACATCTGTTTTAATATAAATTTATTTTTTTAACAACCTCTAGAAGCATTACATTGTAGCCTGAAATACATACCCAATTTTCTTGGTTCTATTTGAGAAATGTTGCTGTAACTTTGGTAGGGGATATCTTGTTTATTCATGGTTGTTATCTTGAGCTATTTATCTGTGGCCCTTTTTCTTTTGAAGCTGGTCAATCCAGGGCTCAGATGTGTGTAAATCTTTCTGACTGTTACTGAAGGAAGCAGGGACATTCCTCTCTTTTGGAGGTTTTTATAGACTTCATGACTGTTTTTGGGAACGGGCCAGTCTTTTGTATTGCTGACTTTGCCACCTACTAGCCACAACTCTACTAATACTCTATATCTAACACTGGAGTCATCAGGAATGTATCAGGCTTTGAGAGGTCTTTACAGCTGCAATATTATATTCATGCCATAGTCGACATAACATAATATTATTGTATACCATGTTCCAAAATTCTATTCATTTAAAGATTGTTCCAGAATACAAATCACCAACATTGCTATAAATAACTAAAGGGAGCCCCTAGTGGTAAAAAAAAGTTGTAGTAACATACAGAAATGAACTTTAGCCGGTTTATAGGGCAACAAATACTTAGATTGCTCCACACAGGTTGCCCTAGAGGTATCGGAAGGCTGGATCAAACGCAGAGGACAGGTATAGCTTTGCGGACAATAAAGTATACCTTAACTTTAATCTCAAACAATACTTGATTAATTGACATTTTGACTAACTTATCTGACAAAATCTCTTCCTTTCCTGCTTGACTCCTTCAGCACCACACTGTATAAAGCTAACGATGCTAACTCAAGACCTTAGTCTCATAGTTTGTATGTATTTTACAGATCTTTATTGAGCTAATATTTTCAGTGAATAGGAAAATAGTTTTGTTAATGTTAATTATCATGTAATGCACTTTTATATTATGATGAACTGTTCACTTCCTATGGACCTTCACAAAAACAAATATATTGTCTGAAAGTTGTAAAGCCTATGAGTAAAACTACAATTTTACCTTTATTTTTATGTAGGGAAAAATGTCAGCCAACCCTGGGTTTGTTTACTGTTTTGAAATAGTATTAGAAATCCGTCTTAAATCATTAGTTTAATCTTGACAGTTGTCAGTCTTCAATGAAAAATAAACATGGCAAAGAAACTACCTATTGAAGCAAAACCGAATATTGTCCATTCACCTTTTGTCCGTCTGTTTTGTGCCTTATTTTCACGATGTTTATGTTATAAAATATTGTAAACACTGTCTGCACCGTATCTGTGAAAACAACAAAAGGTTTCTGAATTTAAAATGTCCCATTACTGTAAATCTTATGTATTTCAAAGGCTGAACCCAGGTATAACTGAACCAGGAAAACAAGAATATCAACATTAGTATATTGCTTTGTCCATATATTTTACAAACCTCTTTTCAACTATATACATATGTGATAACATTAGGATTTAATAATTGCAGTTGACAAAGATTTGTATTTTTACTTTGGAGAATACATAATATGGTTGTTGTGAGATACTTTTTTGTTACTCCTTCAATTATATGCAGTGTGACTCAGTTTGTGATGCTAAAGTAGATGCAGGAGCAAGAACTCTGAAACACCCAATTCATTCCACTGTCATCACATTGAGTCTTCCATGTAAATTAATACAGCGTCATTGACAACAGTACAAGTTTAAATATTGTAAATATTGTGGATAACTGGATGCTTGAATGTATTATCTGTTATCTGACCAAATAAAACTGACTGTTCTCACCTTGCTTGCGTAATTTCTTATTATATGTTATTAGAAAACCTTGCAAAATACTATTTATTAGTCTTTTAGCTATTGAGCCAATTATTTGCTATTATAGCCGTGATTTTTTTTTTTTCTTAAGGTAATTCATATTTTCTCCAGTAGATGTCAGAGCAGCATTAGAAATTAAATAAACTAAAAAATTGCATTGAATGAAAAATAGAGCTGCTTTCATCTCGGTTATGAATGGACTCCACACATCAGTTTGGAATAAAGATATTAGTTAAGATATTAGTTTGTTGCTGGTATACTTTAATATAAAAGCAAAGCAAGTTACTTAAGAGGGAGATTGAAGATCTATTGGTTGAATCGAATTGGAAATAGGGACAACACATTATGAATTAAATATGACTTGTTTGGTACAGCACTTTTATCTTTAGTTATTTGGTTGGTTTATTCATTTCAGTCTCTTCACTCAGACTACAATATTGTACAAAGCATAGACTGAGCATAAACTGAAGTAAAAAGCTTATTGAACCAATTTAGCCAATAGGATAATGTGGAACCATTTGTTTACAAAGTATTGACAATAATTGACACATATTTCCTCAGTGTAGGTTGTACTCAAATATATCTATTCTAAACTAAACGACTGTATAGAGAGTTTAGATATACATGTACGTGTTTATTACTATACCTTTACATTTTCTTTTGAATGCTTTCACTGACATTTTTTGATATGTCATCTTACTGTTCCAAATATACTCCTCTAATGGAAAAACACATCAACCTTTGGTGTTCTAACTTTACTTTTTGATAAACATGAGTCTGTAGTGAGTTCCAAATATTATCACACTTTCATTATCCAATGTATCTCTGTTAATTTTGAGCATAGTGTACTGGATTAGGGCCTGTCCTGCAACTTTGTAGTACAACATAGAAAAAGAGTGGTTTAGTTCCTCTGTGTTATCAACCAGTGTTTACTGAACAACCTCTTACTAATTTAATATAGTATATAGTATGAGTATGAGTATATTATATATAGTATATATATGAGTATGAGTATAAAGTATTAGCAAAATTTCTGAAATTGTTCCACTGCGAGACGAAAAAAAGTAGATCTTTTCTTATCTTATCTTAATTCTTATATCCAATAATCTGGTTTGGGATTTCACACAAGACATAACCTTCACTGTATGTTTAACTGTCATATATTGTGCAGACAGATGGATTTTCAATATACCAGTAATAGAAAATAATGTTTTAATGCAGTGCAATCTTGACCTACAGGGGGTGTTTTTCCCCTATTTTAGGATTGAGCCAATCAGAGCAGAGTTGGAGGACTTAAACGTGGGCTCGTTGTGACCATGGCGACGGCTTTCCTCTGTCTCCGAGAGGAAACAACCAAAGTAGGGATGTGCTCATTATGGAAGGAGCTGGAAGACACTGTGAAACATGCTCTCTAAGACCGCCTCAAGATGTGTTTGCACATAAATATGAATAAGAAGGATTGTCTATTTGTTAGAGCCTCAGGGACAAGATAGCCTTATGGGCAGAAATAAATGCAATGTCTTCTGATCATTTAGAATATGCTTGGATAGAAGTCTTCTGCTTATTTTTGTACGCCAAGATGAGGGAGATTAACAATGAGGGTGATGAAAGTCTGTCTCTTTTAAACTGTTTTCAACCTCTTTGAGTACAATAGTTCATACAAAGTTCAACATTGTATTTTCAATGTTGAAATGATGTTCAATGATAATAAGACAGAATAACGCTTATTTGAACTAATATAGGATCATTTTTCATGGTATTAATCTGAGCAGTTTTTTAACATATGATTACATAACTATTTATACAAAAAACAAAGACAATTTGTTACAATTGGCAATTAGGGGTGCAACGGTTTGAAAAAATCACGGTTCGGTTCGTACCTCGGTTCAGAGGCCACGGTTCGGTTCATTTTTCGGTTCATTTTTCTTTTTGAATAAACCCAGCTCATGTGGACTCGGCACCTGGTCTGACTGCCCCCCTGACCTAGAAATGAATTAAGGTGAAGGAAATGGATGGATGGGTGGATGGAAGGCATATTCCATCCATCCAATTATGTCTATTTAACATAATTAATGAAAAACAACACAAAGTGCAACATAAGAAGGCACTTTATGAGGATATTTACCCTCATATATTACACCACCTTCCTGATTCTCCCAAGGAGGGGGTCCATTCTGGGCCCAGCCTCATTCACTGCATTTATTTAATTTTTGGCATTATCAGTTGTGACTGGAATATTAGTACTGGGCCTTTGTCTTCCATTCCTCCGCTGCTTGTGTCAGTACCTGCGCTGTGTGACTGTGTGACTGTCGTAGAGGGGGCGTGTCTTCAGCGCCAGACTTTTCATCTCCCAGTCTGCGGTGATGAAGTGAGCGGTTCCGCTCATGGATCTATTATAGGTTCCGCGGGACGTCCAAACGTCAGTCGTGAACGCAGCTGAGGATGCGCGGGAGAGTTGACTTTAGCCCGGTCTGACTGTGCGTAAAGGAGCTGCTTAAATGCCGCGACAATAAGCGGTCGTTGAGACGCTTTTTTCACTCATGTCTTTCTTGGTCCACAGTGCTTACACACTGTGACAGTTTTGTCGAATATGAATCATCAGTGTAGTTACAGTGAAGCCAAAATGCTCTCATACTGGGGATTTAAATGACGCGGGGCTTTCAAGCATCTCCGTTCCTCCGCTCGCAATGACCGCGCTGTGTGTGGACTGAACAACGTGCGCACAACTTTTTTTTCATAAATCAAACCGCGGATCACGTCTGTACCGAACCGAAGACGTTGAACCGAACGGATCACGGATCAGTGATGAACCGTTGCACCTCTATTGGCAATACAATATATATAACCTGCACTGTATTGTATGTGTTGCATCCTACCATGTCAATGGTTATCTCCTCTTCATATCGTGTATATGTACCGCAATATGGATTAAATTATTTCTAATATGTGGATATATGACAATCGATAAACCTCATAGCCTGTGGGTGTGGTAATTTAACTAAACTAACATGGCTTTACGTGTAATCCCCCTCATCTCCTGTTCTGGGGATTTCCATTGGCTTAGAATGAACTATCATGAAGTTCTGATAGGTCCTTTTGGCTGTCACTCAGTTTAATCCCGCCCCCATCATCCTGTGTACGCTCCACCAACTGAGCTGTGCAAAGGCTGTAGCTCAGCGCCTGTCCAGGGGAGGATAGGAGGAGGAGACCCATTTTCATTCATTTTTACGGTTTTTGACGCTTCCTTCTGCTGCAAACCTGTTGGAATATCCCTTAACACGTGCTTTTGTCGAAATCCAGAACTGTATTTGTTTGCCCCTTGGAGATTTGGTTGTACACGCTAAACCCAAGAGGGCATCTTGCACAGGAGCGACGTGAACAAGTGACAAGAAATCAGCCGATGCTAACAAGTGCTTAGCGAGTTAGCATATTAGCCTCGGCGCTAGCCCCGGTTAGCTGCGCCTCTCTTGCCTGCCTCAGCAAGTCCCACCCTCCGCTCGAGAGGAGGACGTCGGACGGTGTATGCGGCAGTCAAGTGTTTCCCCCCCGCATTCGCTTCAGTAATCAGACCGTGTTGCCGACTGACAGGGTCGCCACTGTGGGAAGGAACAGGGGAGAAGAGCAGCACTAGCTTAGCTCCAGTTCTGGATTATTAGCGTTGACAGGTGGCGGGTTCGCCGAAGGGAAAGCGAAGAGGCGGATAGAGCGAAGGAGGAAGACTCGGAGACGGAGGGAACTGGCTTGTTTGGCCGGGGCACATAAACGCACGTAAGTAAGCGGTCTTTCAAGCCTTAGTATCTGTTTTCTTGTGAACGATATATTGTATAGCCATGTGAAGGCGTGCTTTGTTTATCAAACGACATAATAAATAAACAATGGTTTGCCTTGGCCATTGAGCACACTTCTGCTTAGTTTGGATTAGCATTAGTTTGACAGGTTGAAAGGTGATGCATTGCCGCACGTGCCATAAAATGAAAATGGGTTTTCAGGATAGTTTCAGTTCCTGGAAGCCTAAATCTGAGAAGTGTCATGTTCATAATTGTCTTGTGTGCTGTAACGAAGTGTTAAATGTGTCACACATTTGGACAGCGGCCAGCACTTTTGCAGCCGAGCAGTTCATTCAGCTGAGCAGGGATTTACGACGTTGTGCGTCCACAGAATCGTCAAAGGAAGCTGGATTTGTGCCATGTTCGGCCATTCTTTATATCCAATCATTCACAAATACTTTTAAGAGATATGATTGTTTAGGTTGACGCCCTTGCTGTTATTTACATTTAACTAAACAACTTCACGTCTTATCGCAACATAAAATAATGATCTAGTACCGTTGCTATGGTAACCGAGAACCAGTCACTTTGATTTTAGCTAATCAAGGCTAACGCTACAGATTACTGCTGCCTTTATACAACAACTAACGACAGTGCTAACATGTTTCAGAAAATACCAACGTCCCCATGTCACATTAGATTTGGATCTCCCTCTTGTTGATGGATTTTTCCAGTAAATCACGTTTTACGCGACACGCTAACTCTTCAATATTGGACATGGCGTTTCTTTGTTGAGTATAAGCATATGTTGCATATTTTTATTGATAAATGTTGTCTTTTTCCAACATTGATTACACTGCATTGTATTTTTACATTGCATGTCCATGGTTCATCCTATATCTTTACTTGTTTGTAATCTAATCAAAATGTATTTGAATGGAACGTGTGTAGCTTTCATCCATGATGCCATTATGCATTTTGGTTGTAAGTGAAACTAGAGCACCTGGAGGAAACCTACACATACAAACTCCTCTCATATACCTGGAAGTCATACTCAGGAGCTTCTTGCTGAGAGATGACAGCTCTATCCACTGTCTCTCATGTTGCTCCACCTCACCTGGGGCCTCATTTGTTATAGTGTGCAATGCGCATCAGATTTTACTTAAATTACAAACATTAGTTCGGATAACATAGAGCCGAGTTATGTTCTCGTGTAGCTTTATAAATTGGACCTCTGGTTTGTGCTTGTGCTGATTACTCAATCAGGTGTCCGCTGAAGTGGCTATACCATACAGCGAAAGTAAACCGGTCTCGGCTTAATCGTTTTCAGCTATGCATCTGACTTCCCCCCTGATAAATAAACATACACAGGCTGACTACACTATATAGATACAGGCTGTAGCTGCTGAGAAAGTAATCACTTTGATTTAAGTTATTGACCAGTGAGATTTCTTTGAATCAGAGAATTGTGATCAAACATGGTGGTGTTAGCTTTCCCGTAAGCAACTGCTTACCAACACATAATTTGGTAACCTACCTACCTGAGCTACTATTGCTGCAATACACATAATTATGCCAGGCATAATGACTAGTTTATGGACGGTAACCGGTGATGCACACAAATCTTAGCCAAACGCACGTAATACAAGCTTTATTTGTGTAATTTGGGCTTGTGCGCTGCATAGTCTTTATCTGGACCATCGTAATTAACTTACGCCACTAGAGTTCACTAAACCAGAGCTGCACCAGTGCCGATTAGGCAGAGGGACCAGTCTGCGTGGTGGATGAGTGAGTAGAAGCCTCTGTGAAATCCTCCAGCTAACCAGCGCTTTCTATCACCATGATTCAGATTCAGATTCATTTATTTGCCATTTGCAGTAAAACCACATTGGAAAAACTGTGCAAGACTACCCCGGTGTGCACCAGACGACACACACCAGAGCTCTTGCCACGGCGCCATCTTTACGGCGCCATGCGATGCATGTTTGCATGCACAGGTAAAACAATCTGACTCTTGTCCCAATGGACCAGGGACAGACCACAGGCACTTTACCTCCCTTCAGTTCACCTATTACAATGTTTAGCTAAAATATATGTAAAATTTTCAATTGTATTTTTAATTAAAGTAGTTTGACAAACATTGATTATAACATCATATTTAACGCATTATAAAGGAAATGACACTTCAACCAGGGTGAAATAATTTCTTTATTATTTGTTAAATTTTTATATATATTTTCCATACTATATGATGTGCACATCTGGGAACTGGGAGTAAAGCATAGTAATAAAAGCGTAGTAATATAGTGATAATGGTGCTTTCAGACCGGCAACGCTGAAACGCACATTCTCTAATTCTCAGACGCAGGGGTCTTCAGACCAGAAGTCCTGACGCGCGCCGGAAGTGGCGGAAGTAGCCGGTGGGCTCTAATGCTAACATAGTTTAGCTAGCGGCTTCTTGTGTACAGATCTTCTCCAATAATGCAGCTTAGTATATTTACAGAGCAGAGGCTGGTTTGAGGATCTGCCGCATTTAATGCCTGCCCCTTTTCCTGTGTGGCCAAATGCATGCATGAATCTCCAAGATAACAAGTTAAATATACCATCACTCAGTACATTTTATAAGGACACCAAGTAGCAGCAGGGTGATGACTGGCATTGCTACCCCAAACCATAAAACTTTTGGACTGTCTCTTCTACTGGAAGAATTGTGAAAAGTGTGATCATGGAACCAATTCTAAACCTTGTGTAGTCCTATGCATGAATTACCTGATCAATGCTGCACTTTTCTAATAAAAGACAAGCGTCACAAAACTAAACTAATGAGGTTACTGGAAAAATAACCATTTGTTGTATGAGAGTGGGGTGATAAGCATTTTCCTGAATGTATATAATTTATGAGCGTAATAAACACTCATTCAAAGCCCTCTTTTTAAAACCATAAACTATCAGTGTCCTCAAATTGTCTATACCCTCTTGGATTAGGGGTGGGCGATATGGCCTAAAATTCATATCGCGGTATAATTTGGGTCATAGACGGTAGACGGTATATATCGCGGTATAATTTGGTGTGTGAATTTCAATATAGGTCTAGCAGGTTCTTGCATAAAATAGTCAAGATTGTTAATTATTTATATATTAGAATCTAATATATATATTTTTTGAGTTAGAAAATCAGTTGTGAGACGAATAAAGAGACAAATAACATACATTATTTATGTATGTTACAGTAAATACCATTCACTGTAAAAGCAATTTTTAAAAAGAAAAACATATGCATTCATTTAAAATATAAAAAACTCACAAATGTTGAAATCAAAGTCTGTAGGAGTTTGACATGGTCATTATTTATAGTGTCTGAGAGTTTTGTGCAGGTACATGACTTCAGTAAAAGCTGTTCATTTACAAAGCTGGTCTTGCCATTTGTTGACGCTCCCTAAGCGCTTTTCTTTGCGCTTGCAGTGAACTGGATGATTCAATGGATTTTATGTTCATTAAAACAGGGCATTGGATTTGAACAATTGATGTAAATGGTCATTTTGGCACAAATAATTTTGTTTAACAAAGTAGCTTTCGTGAGATATTGACCGCGGAGGTCCGAATCTGACGCTAACTTTCCCAAACTTCTGCTGTGATGATGCTGCGGACACGGCTCACGCTGGCGCTTCGAGCTTACGCCCCTTTGACACTGATTGGCCAAAAGGTAGACTCTTAAACTGTGATTACTGTGTGTGTATTTACCCCTGCTGGGGCCGCTGTGACAACAATACAGAGACAGAAACACGGTGTTAATGCCGTGCTGTTGTTCGTTGTTTCCAGTGGTGTCCAATAGTGCTAGGCTAATGCTAGGCTAATGCTGCTGAATGCCGGTTTGTTTGGTCCTTTCTGCTGGCGTCAGAGCCTGCGCAATTTAATGACATAATGACCTATCGCAATATGCCGGTATAACAAAAATCTCTACCGTGGGCCAAATTTATACCGTCTACCGCTTATACCGTTTATACCGCCCAGCCCTACCTCTTGGCACATTAGCCTGGCCTTAGCAATCCGTACACTCCGGCCAATCATAATTTCCCTGCATGTAGCGTCTGGATAGTCCCTGTGTTTGCGACTACAATCGGTTGAATTCCATCCGCAATTAGCAAGCATGGGAGGCGGGTGTTGTAGTTAGATGTGGGTGATGTCAAGAGTTTGCGCCGAATGGGCTGGTTGTAGTTTAGCGATGGCGAAGAATGCGTTAGTAAAGTATTCCGGTCTGGTTCTATCAAGAAATTGAAGCCGAGCAAGAGGAATGTAATTTCCGGAAAATATTGTGGCGCTACTCCCCACGGGCTCCGTTAGCGGCAATGTAGATGGCTAGGCTAAATGCTAGCAACTCACTCGGGCGCATTACATAAGTGACGGTAAACTCGGATCCAATCGTTTCAATCTGCAAAAGGAGTTGACCCCTCCCACCGGACGGAGCTCAATGGAGCAAATCCAGACCTTAGTATGAAATGTAGTTTGTACTATGTACTATGCTTAGCACTTGTTGGCCCTTTCGCCTTCATTCTGTGGTCCAGCTCACCCCAAAACCATCTGGATTGGGTTCAGGTCCAGTGACTGTGGAGGCCAGGTCATCTGGCCCTATCAAATCGCCCTTACACAGCCTGGGTGTGAATCTACAGTCAATAGTCATGAAAAGAAAGGAAACTCATTGAATGAGAAAATGTGTCCAAACTTTTGGTTTGTACTGTATAATAGTTAAAAAACCATAACTTAAAAAAAAAAAGTGGGTGTCTTGTATGCAAAATTTTCCTGTCATTCAATATAATCTGGGAGTTGTTCGTAACTGCTTACCAGGCCTGTTCCAATGCTAATTAGTTCTGCTCTTTACATCTGCAGCCTGCTACTTTGCATACTTAGTTGCCCTGTTGGCTTCAGCTTGACGCGTCATGGCCTTGTGCCCCCTGACTCTGTTGTTATCTACATCTGCACACTTTTGAGCTCGTATCACTGTGC